ACTGAACTTTGCGGTTGCACCAAGTAGAATTCCTCTGGTGGAGATGATCACAGCTACTGAGTCAGCCATCCGCAACAACAAAATTAAAGAGGCTGAAGCAGAACAGCTCAGAATCAAAGTTTCAGCCTGCCTCAGCAATGCCAAACCACCACCTTCCAACATCAGTAGAGAGGAGAGGGATGCACTCACCACTCTTAGCAAGGACAAAAACATCATCATTCTCCCAGCAGACAAAGGAAGGTGCACAGTGATTTTGAACCAGAAAGACTATCATGAGAAAGTTATGACACTCCTTAGTGACTTAAACACTTATGAACCTCTGAAAAGAGATCCAGGAAGTGGTTACAAGAAAAAGTTAATAGATTGCCTGAAAATTTTGGAGCAGGACAAAGCTATTGACCGTTTTCTGTACCACAGACTGTACCCAGGGGAGGCCACACCTAGTCTGTATGGTTTACCTAAAATCCACAAACAAGGTGTACCTTTAAGACCTATTGTTAGCATGACAAACTTTGTCACTTACAATGTTTCCAAATATCTGGTGTCTGTACTCATCCCTTTAGTTGGCAGCTCAGAACACCACATACAGAACACCATGGACTTTGTGGACAAGGTGAGGGATGTCATCATGGAGACTGATGAAACAATGGTCTCTTTTGATGTCACATCACTCTTTACGTGCATTCCTGTTGATGATGCAGTAGAGGTGGTCAGTTTAAAATTAAAATCAGACACCACTCTGAGCAGCAGGACCACGCTTTCCACAGAACAACTGTGTCAACTCTTGAAACTGTGCCTGCAGTCAACCTACTTCACATATGGGGAGCAATATTATAGGCAGAAACATGGGTGTGCTATGGGGTCTCCAGTTTCTCCTATTGTTGCCAACCTGTACATGGAGGAGGTAGAAAAGAGAGCCTTGACGTCCTTTTCAGGGACACCACCAAGTCATTGGTTCAGGTATGTTGACGACACCTGGGTTAAAATCAAATCTCAGGAAGTCCAACATTTTACTGACCACATCAACTCTGTGGATAAATACATCAAGTTCACACGAGAAGATGTAAAAAATGGCAGGTTGGCTTTCTTGGACTGTGAGGTCTCAGTCTCTGATAGAGGACATTTGCAAACTGAGGTGTACCGCAAACCCACCCACACAGACCAGTATTTGCAGTTTGACTCCCATCACCCTTTGGAGCACAAGTTAGGAGTCATCAGGACTCTGTACCACAGAGCAGACAGCGTCCCCACTAGCTCAGGAGCCAGGCAGAAGGAGAAATCCTACACAAGACAGGCTCTAGAGCAATGTGGATATCCTAACTGGGCCTTCCTGAAAGCAGAGAAGAAACCCAAACAGGACTCCAGTCAGCCAACAGGTGAAAAGGAGGAACCCAGACCCAGACCAGTGGTCATTCCATATGTTGAGGGAGTATCAGAGAAACTGAGACGTTTATTTTCTAAACATAACGTCCCAGTGGCTTTTAAACCCCAAAATACATTACGGCAAAGACTGGTTCATCCCAAAGATCCAGTCCCCCGGCACAAACAGAGCAATGTTGTGTATGCTGTTCAGTGTAAGGAGGGCTGTGATCAGTCTTACATCGGGGAAACAAAACAGCCACTGGCCAAAAGGATGGCCCAGTACAGAAGATCAACATTATCAGGCCAGGACTCTGCGGTCTACACTCATCTCCAGGCCAGCGGTCACTCTTTCAGGGATGAAGATGTTCACATCCTGGACAGAGAGGAATGATGGTTTGAGAGAGGAGTAAAGGAGTCCATCTTTGTGAAAAGAAATCGTCCATCGTTAAACAGGGGTGGAGGCCTCCGGGTTCAACTGTCCCCCTCTTACAATGCTGTGATTGCTAGTATCACTCAGCCCCCTGTGAACAGTAAACAGCCATCAGTGTGCTAATGATCCATTGTTAGGCTGATGGTCCTTCTTGAGCATGTGATCAGCTGGTTTTGGTTGTCAGCAGCAAAACTGGTTGATCCACTCTGAGACGGTGCTATTTAAGAGACTGAGCTGAATACAGCTCCTCAGACTGAGGAAGTCTCTCGGATGAGAGACGAAACGTTTCTACATTTTTTTGTTGATTTGCTTTGTTTTGTTTTTTTGAATGTCTAGAGGACCAGATTTAACTTTTTTAGATTTTTCTACCTGGATTATTGAGCTTGCATCAGGATACTTATATGTGGGAATTAATCAGTCTTCTATCTCCCGTCTACAGCTTGTACAAAACTCTGCTGCTCGCTTGTTGACTAACACACGTAAACATGAACACATCACTCCTGTCCTTTCTTCTTTGCACTGGCTCCCGGTTCAGTTTAGGACACAGTTCAAGCTGCTGCTGTTTGTTTTTAAAGCTTTGAATGGCCTTGCACCATTCTATATTTCAGAACTTTTGAAAGTCCACCAGCCCAGCAGAGCTTTATGGTCTGCTGGTCAATATCTGCTGTAGGTGCCTCGTTCAATGTGCAAACAATGGGGGGGACCGGTCCTTTTCTGTTGCAGGCCCAACAGCCTGGAATACTCTTCCCCATGAGCTGCGTGCCATCTCTGATCTGGTTCTGTTCAAAGCCAAACTGAAAACCTACTTATTTAAAAGTGCTTTTAATGTTTAACTTTTAGTATTTTAGTATTTAGCATTTTTTTTATCTCTTTTACCTTCTTTTATTCTGGCTGTGTTTTTAATTTGAATTGATTTATTGTGCCCCGTTTTTATTTGTTTTATCTTGTAAAGCACCTTGGAAAATGCAAGGCGTTGTTGGAAGGTGCTATAGAAATAACGTTTATTATTATTATTATTATTAAAAGTTATGGTAACACTGATGGAAAGGACAAAGTTTATGGAATATTTTTTGCATGAATCTCTATGAGATTATGAAGACTGGCATTGTTTCATGATTTTTTGATTCTAGCTGTGTTCAGACTAGTTTTTAGCTCATCATTCCTTAACTGTTTTTCCAAACCAAGGAAAGGTACAATCTACAGCAGGTAAGATATTTGCAGTCCCTAAAAAAACCATAAGGACACATAGAAGGGACGTTAATAAAATCCCACAATTCCACTGCTAAACCCCACTGCAACAAAACATTTTGAGCTCCATCAGGCAAGCTGAACAATGACATGTTTTGGGGATTATTTTAAAATAAATGTGCATGAACACAGAGTATTTATTTATTTATTTTTTTACGAGAAATTTAAATTTCAATAATCATCAGATTTTTCTTCCTGTTTGAACATGAGGGAAGTAAAGAGAAAATGCTCATTGTTAAATAGATGAAGGTCTTGTTTTCTTGTATGACCTATTAGTGCTCAGGATACGTGTTGGGGAGCAGTCTCAGCTACTGCCACACCAATACTTGTAAAAATGACTGTCATTTTCATGTTTTTAAGATCAGTTGGCTGTGGTACCCTTTCTAAATGATCCTGACTCTTAATTAGGGGGAGATATACATCCAGTATTTACTTTCTGAAATTTTCATTAATCCATCCAGTTGTGCATAAGATGTTTTACACAAACACCACACAAACAACGTTATTGTCTGATTCCGCCTTTCAGCAGTGAGCAATAATAACTTTAAATGTGTTAGAGCACCAAGAGGTGTACCTTTGAGGAGTGGAGCTGGTCTCCTGGCTTTAACCACCTCACTCTGAGACAGAGCCTCAGTCATCCAGGAGAGGGCGCTGCAGCAGAACTCCAGCTGGGGGCGAGATGGACAGAGATGAGGGATGAACTAAAAGTTGCACCCCCATTTTTATCTGTTTTATTCTGTGTTCTCTTTTGGTGTGTTTTGGATGTGGGCACCACAACACAACACATTTCACTGCATATTCTATGACGCACGACTGAGCATGCAACAAATAAGCTTTATCTTATCTTTGTGGTAAAAGTGCTGCCTTTTAAAAATTATTCTGTTTTTAAATCCAGAGCAATCAGAAAACATCCATAACTCCAACCCGCAATATCCAGACATACTCGTGTTAGATAATAATAACAATATTAATAATTCAATTCAATTCAGTTTATTTATATAGCATCAAGTCACAACAGAAATCATCTCAGGGACTAAACAGAAACATCCATACATAAAAAAATAATTTAACATTATTTATCTGAAGAGCAGACTGCTTTGAGTTTAACTTCATCTCAGAACTTTCATATTGAGCAAGCATGAAGGTGACAGTGGAAAAAAAAAAAAAACTCCCTCATGAGGAAGAAACCTTTAGCAGAAACAGGCTCAGGACAAGCGGCCATCTGCTTCAACCGGCTGGGTTTGGTAGGAACAGATACACAATGGCAGGTCAAGAATCACATGTTAAGATAGAAATAATAATAATAATAATAATAATAATAATAATAATAATGCTTCAAATAAGTTAATCTTTATTTAAAAATTGTGCTCTAGTAGATTAGCTTTGGGGAGTGGTGGTGAAGAGGTTAGAGAAGGTGGGCCTATGATCAGAAGGTCACCAGTTCAACTCCCCAGACCAACAAAATCAAAATGTGGGTGGGAAAGGTGAAACACCCACAACTGCCTCCACCCTCATTTGCCGCACTCTGGGTCCTTGAGCAAGCCCCTTAACCCCCACCTTCTACTCCTCTGGGAGCCCTAAATAACAGCTCTCTGCTCCACACAGAGGGCTGTGGTAGCTTGGTGGTCTGTGGTTGAGTCAGGAAGGACATCCAGCATAAAAACAATTGCCAAGTCTTTGTGAGAATTAGTTTGCTGTGGCGACCCCTGAAGAAGGAAGCAGCCGAAAGAAGAAGAACCCCCCCTCCCAGTATTTTAGCTGCCAACGTGGATATGAAGCAGGCTGAGGCAGGAAAGTGAAGAAAGACTTGTGGTAAAAAGTTTCTTTTTGTACCCAAAAGCAGGGGTGCATGTAGACCAAACCTTCAAAACTATGAATTGCTTCAAGGGTTTTTGTGTGTCTTTTGTGTCCCATTTGAAATGTACTGTACAAGGCAATGCCAACCTTTAGATTCCTAAGATAAAAAAGCACAGAGAGGAGCTCAGTGGCTCATTCCAGCCAACTGATGCTCTGCCTTGAACACAGATGTAAATTCAAAGGTGAAAAGGAAGCTGTGACACCATCTTTGTGCCATGTTGAGCACAGCTCATTAAGATCCCAGAAACTGCCAGCATTTTGAGGGAAAATGATTTAAAGGTATTTTACTCACCTGTGTCTCTAGTAAATGCAATCTTCGTTCATGGTCTCTGATTTCTGCCATCTGCTTCAGAACACTGTCCACCCTGCAGAAACAAATTAGATCATATTTTCAGATCATTTACCAAGAAGTTCATATTTGGACTCATTTTTTTCCCTTCCTGTCTGAATAAGTTTATCCATATGAAAAAATGTGTTTACAGTTTGTTTAGATAAAAACATTTTGATTTAATGCAACCTATGAAGCGCTCTTAACTATACATACATGTACAGTATTGTTTTTGTACTACTAGGGCTTAACATATTCTTAGTTTAGCGTATTTCTTAGTTCGTATCTTATATATTTATTTTTATTTATTTAACCTTTATTTAACCAGGCAAATCCCATTGAGATCAAAGATCTCTTTTGCAAAGGAGGCCTAGGCCTGAAGGCAGACTAACATGCATGTTATTGCTCTGTGGGACGAAACCGGAGTACCCGGAGAAAACTCACGCAAGCATGAGAAGAACATACAAACTCCACACAGAAAGACCCCAGGTCCAACTGGGGACTGAACCTAGGACCTTCTTGTTGTGAGGCAACAGTGCTAACCATTGAGTCACCGTGCTGATAAAAGGTCAAAGCTCAACTGTTTTCCTACCTTGAGAACTGACTGTAATATAATTGGCTTTTCCCCATGTAAAAGCCAAACATGCATTGGACAAGGTACAGAAGGTTTTTATTGACCCACTGACAATTCATGCAGATGCCGCTGGAATTGTAGAAAGAAACTTTAACCGGATGGATCTCAGGACACTCTTATCTAAATTTGATTTTGGGAGAAAATAAAACTTTCCAACAAGGGAAAACAACATAATGGATGATGTCTACACAAACAAATTAAGGCAACACCATCTGAACATATGACTTTTTTTTTTTCCTGATGTCATTTTACAAACCATTAATTTGCAGGATGAGACTGGCCACCAAAACTGTACAGGTATGAGAGAAGACTCTACATCAATGCCACAGGACCATTTTAAAAATGTGGATTGGGACTTATTGGTAGAAAACATTGACCTGGAAGAATATACAACAGCTCACCTTGATTTAATATTTTTGCACTGAAAATGTGCTCTCTCAAGACTTTTAATGCATTTTTTTAACCAAAAGCAATATATAAACAACAACGCAAGGATGTGGCTCAGAGAACAAGATATAGCTCTTGAGACAATAAATGCTATACTGTACAAAAACAACACAAGTAAACTTGAGTAAGCCATAAAAGATGTAAAGTACAAATACAAGCAGCACACTGAGGAGCACTTTGTGAACAAAAACAAATAGAAAAGGAATGAAAACAAAGCGAATGTAACACCACCATGTTGCTCACCGTACCCATCTCCAACGTTCCATATATCCTGAACAAGTTTTTTGCTTGCTTTAACAATGAAGACCGCAAAACTGTTCCTCACATCATTCAGTCAATTGGGGAACAGACATTGGGTCTTCCAGTGCCATCAGGTAAGTTCCACCCTCCAAAGAGTCAGCGTTAGCAAAGCCCTTGACCCAGATGGTGATTATGAAAGGTTACTAAAAAAACATCTTCAAACCTCATCAAAGCAGGCAGTGGTCACAGTATGCCTCAAATCTTTCACCATTTTACCAGTTCCTGAGAACATTGTGGAAAAGTGCCTGAATTCAATTCAATTCAGTTTATTTATACAGCACCAAGTCACAAAAAGTGGGAATGATCACTATTCAGTTACCAAAATACTGTGGCAACAAGAAGGGTGTGAGATGGAGGAAGAAGTGTGACACCTTCTCCACTCCCCTTCACTACATTTATTTTATTTATTTAGCTCTCGTTAAAGTGGGGCACCAGCTGGTCAGTTTACTGACCAACAAAAACTTCATTAATACTTTGTATATTCACCCTTTAATGATCAGAATCAGTCACTGAAGTGGAATCCATTAATTACAGGGAGTTCTATACCAGAACAAATGAATATTCATCCGAATGAAGAGACCAAAGTTGTCTTTGAAGTTTTATTACAAAAATAATCAAACTAAAAATCAACAAGAATAATAAACAAACAATAATAATGAATCAATCAAGGCTTAATTCTCTTATCTAAGATTAAATTGACTCTTTGAGCAGGAATTATTTCAGTTTTATACGCACATGAATTTAGACAAAGTTTGGCTATTTTAATAAATAGTTTACTTTGGATTTGGGTTGAAAAAAGTGATTTAATCTGATCAGATAAAGTCATTTATCGTCACTGCAAGCCAGGAAATGATTTACCAAGTTGCATCAGCTTAAAATAGCATAACCAGACCAAGGCATCATGTCACCAGGTTTCTGCTCCTTAACGGGTCAGTCTTGAAAGCACCAGGTCACTCGTCTTTCTGGGGTTCTCTGGTAGATCAGACCAGGATTACACCATGAGGAGGACTCGCCAGGAACTGCCCAAGGTAGCTGACCGTCACTGTGACAGCTTCAGGGGTCTGTGAGGGCAACAGCTGATGAGAAGGTGCCATGCATCGCAACCTTCAGCTGAGAACGTGAGTCTTGCAGTAAGAAAAGGATTCATCTTCTGTGGTTATTTAAACTTCTAACAATTGTAATTTGAGCGACATGTTTATCTGCTCAGGAACTGAACAATTGGACCTTGGCACGACCTCTAGGATTGGGTCCAAGGACGAACCGCTCTTCGGCCAATGGGGTTTAGGTTTAGGTCCGGCGAGTGGGCTTGCCAGTCAAGCACTGTGACATGGGCATCAAAACAGGTTATGGTTGCAGCATGGGCAGGGGCCAGGTCCTGCTGGAAGATGAAATCTACAGATCCATACAAATCATCTATTAAAGATTAATTTTTTGAATGAAATTATGGAAGTTAAACAACTTTTCCATGATATTCTAATTTTTTGGAAAGGGTCTGTAAGTACAGTCCATTTACCATTTACTTTACAGACACACATAAAATATGTCATCACTTCATATCTGGACAAACCAGTTTATGTAGGGTTTTCAGCTTCTTCCAGGTTCCTGAGTTCCAGGGTGGTGCCAAAGAGTAGCAGCTGGAGGTCATTCCACTAATTGGCTCCAGGGGTATAAAAGTCTACAGAAGAGCTCCATTTCCTGCTGGAGCATTACCTACTAAATGGTACTTGTTCCGCCAGCCTTCTAGTGATTATATTATCAAGAAATACTTACCTGTGTTCTCTTCGTGCTTTTCAGAGACTTGCCTCCTGAGTCTATTCCCTTGTACTGCTCTCCTATTGACCCAAGCTCTTTATACTGGTACCTACCTGTGGATTTCCTGCTGACTCAACTTCAGCTGCTCCTTCGCCAACCAGTCACTAGCCACCTGCCTTCTCTTGTCTCCACTGGATCTTGCAAGCCTGGACTACACTTGCTGGAGATCATCTGCCTTTTCCTCAACACCTCAACTGGCCCTCTATACTGTAAGATACCAGGAACTAAATAATCACCATCTCTCCTCCTCCAAGATATTAACCATTCTCCTCCAACCCCAGGTTTCCCTGATCCCTGTGCTGTACATAGTATCTAATTTCACTGAAAATAAATCACTTTAATTATTCAAGAGTTTGCGGTCTGTTCTTCCCTCAGTCAATTGGCTTATTTGCACTGCTCCTAATCAGCCCCAACTCTGCACACCCCTGCTCAGACTGGCTCAGCTCAGCCTGGATTTGCACCACACTTTAGGACCGATTCTGGAGGCATGTCCAGAATCCAAAATCCTGCTAATGAGAGTTCTGCAATGAGTTAAACTCAAAGCAGACTGTTCTTCAGATAAATAATGTAAAATTACGGTATTATTTTTTTTATATATGAATGTGTCAGTTAACTTATTTTATATATGAATGTTTCTGTTCAGTGCCCTGAGATGACTTCTGTTGTGACTTGGTGCTATATAAACTGAATTAAATCTGATGAACCAGATCTTACAAAAACATCCATCCATCCATTATCTTTACCCGCTTATTCCATTTTGGGTCACGGGGGACGCCGGTGGACGGGTCGCAAGTCCATCACAGGGCCACATAGAGACAAACAACCATTCACTCTCTCACTCACACCTAGGGACAATTTAGAGTTACCAATCAGCCTAACATGCATGTTTTTGATCTGTGGGAGGAAACTGGAGCACCCGGAGAAAACCCACGCATGCACGGAGAGAACATGCAAACTCCACCCAGAAAGGCCCCTGGACCGGGGTTTGAACCAAGGACCTGCTCACTGAGAGGCAGCAGCTCTACCAGTTGCGCCACCATGCTGCCCCCTAAAAAAACATCAATATTTAAAATTCCATATTTTTCTTCATCATTTGATGTATTTGCACTCACTGTGGTTTTGGTTCTTGTCTACAGATTATTTTTTCTTGTATACAGATTATTTTTTCTTGTATACATATTATTTTTAGCTTTGATTTAAAGCTTTTATTTAAAGTGTAATTCTTGTTTTGTGGTTTGTACATCTGTGGGTTAGAATAAAGTTGAACTAAAGGCTGTATCTCTTCTTTAACCATATTTGAGGGAAATATTCATGAGAGATCCAGTAATTTTGTCTTTTTATGATTTTTCAGCTGAGTTAACTTTAATTAACAGATTATTTAATAAAGTCAAAGTGAAAACAGGATTTCAGAGTCAGAGTCAGAGTCAGAGTTTCTTTATTGTCATTCGCACCTCATGTGGTACATGTGGTGGAGCGAAATTATGTACACAGGGTCCCAGTTACATCCAACAATAAAATGTATAAGAAAAACAGTAATAACATCTAAGATATGAACTAAGAAAAACATCAACTAAATATACACTAAGCACTCATAACATAAAACATTGAACATCACCACAAACATGAACATGAGTCTGTGAGCAGATGTGCACGCATGAACACATCAACATTGAAACAGATCAGCAGCAACATGAAACAGATCAGCAGCAACATGATATGGTTTTTCACAGTGATTATTCTAGTTAGAGATTCATGAGTCTAACAGCCTCAGGGTAGAAGCTGTTCCTCAGTCTAGTGGTTCTACACTTAATGCTCCTTAACCTCCTTCCTGAGGGGAGTGGGGC